CTTACTGTTACTCACTGGGGACAATATACAATGCATTATATGCAAGTGGATTTTTCAGTGCTGTAGTTGACACAAAGAAAGGTTCATATTTTACCATTCCTGCACACAGCTTCACATCTCCCTTTACCATTGATTAGGCTACACTGCAGCACTTTTTCATTTCAAAAGTATGAAACCTTTTAATTCAGTGCCACTAAAAGGTCTGTTGTTATGCCTTGTGTTGTCCCCAAGACATATAATCATGTATCCAAAAAGAACCCTCCTATGGCCTTCTGAACATGTTCCAAACTGTTGTATAGCACAGCAACCAATACATTGTAATGTCAATGCCAGCCAACGGTATGTCAAAGTAATGACACTGTAAAGTTAAACATGGTATTGTGACCGTACTCCTTTTCAGGATTAGTGGGCAAAGCACAGAAGTGGGACTATTTGAGATGTGGTTCTATCCACAGCTCTGCCACAGATGATAGACCCATTATGTGACTCTAAAAAAGTCATTTAGCTTTGCTAAACCTCTTTCCCCATCTGTAAAATGGAGATAATACTTTCCTACCACCTATAGGCATGACATAAAACCTAATTCATTTATGTTTGTGAAGTGCTTTGAGAGCCTCAGATTGATGATCCTGCAGAAGTGCAAGGTGTTAATTAGCAAGGATTATCAAATTCACTAGAATGTTCACACAATCCCCAGTATGTGACATTATTACAGAAACACAACTTCCATCAAATTCTCAAGAGAAAATAAGACCCATGTCTAAAACAAATATATATAAAAAGTATTTCAATAAAATTACACAAACAACAACAATTATTGGTTCTCATGTGGTCCAAAACATTCAAGTTAAACATAGCAGAATTTACAAACAGAACATTGTACTCCATTTCTGAGGAGCTGGGTTGGGAGTGGGAACCTTCCTAAACATTTGGGGCCTAATTTTAAAATGCGTTCCTTTTATAAGAAGATCTGGAAACTGGGTGTCACATTAAGATGCCATATTTATAACTGGGCTACCTTTAAAAATACAAGATGTGTACAACGTATTGTTCATGTTCTCTCAGTTACATATCTAATGCATTAGCTGAAATTTATATTTCATGGTAAAGTAATTATCTTACCTTCATTTTTCCTTGTAAATTAAGATAAAATTATAATTGTTTATTCTTTAAAACAGACATTCACTAAAAATATTTGTTTAAAATACAGCCAGAACTACATGGGACCAAATTCCTTTCTGGTGTGACTCCATTTGCTTTAACAAAGTAGCACCAAGGATTAATCTGTCCCATTAGTCTCATTTTCCATTCCAAAATTCCTTCATGGCATAAAAGAGCGAGCTGGCTGGCCACGGTCATTAAATACAGGCATTCTGGATCTGGTCCTACTCCCACTGAACTCAATGAGAGTTAACTAAATTCTGCCAACCAATTCTGTACAAAATTGTTCTGTGCAAACCTGTTATGAAAAAGGCCTTGTGCAGAGAAACAAAAGGCACTCTCGTGGTTTTTTCCCATCTATCACGTACCCACTCCACATCGACTTAAGAGGGCCTCTTTTTGAGCCAATTGATTACTACTTTTTGAAATTGGTCCAGACAACAGCTGGATTAATCTGGGTATATGAAGCAGAGACACACGAGAGGACAGATTGTTGGAGATCTTTGGTGAACACTTTCCTCCCTCAGCATCTACAATGATCGTCTCCACTCAATACCTGGACCACTTCACTAGCCAACATGGGACAAGCTGTACTGCAAGTGACTGAATCCAACAGAGCTTAGTGTATACTATGCAATGTGACCTCAGGAACAAACTAATGTACACAAGGCCAAATTCAGCCCAGCTGTAATGGTGTAACTCCACTGGAAGAAATGGCATCATATCAGGTATGAATCTGGCCTATAAGATCTGATGCTATGAGGCACTAAGTGTCTTCAAAACACACTAAAGCTCAGCACTTCACAGGAACAAACCTCCAATAAGATAAATGCAAATTAAAAAATTCCAACAATAGCTAAGTTTATAAGACAGGGATGGTCCAGTTACTTATCCAGTAGTCCATCCAGACCACGACATGCAAAGACAGTGGAAGTCTTTGAAGATGAAGGTCTAATTACCTATTGCATTCATACTGTGGTCCCACACTCCTTGCAGGACACCTGTTGGAAAGGATACATAATGGACACCAAGACCTCACAAAAAAAGAAGAACTAGCCAGTTTGCCTGTCTGGCAGCTGAGCATAAGGCAAATCACAGAGTGGAATCATTCAAATCTTAAATAATGACGAGACAGGCATAACTTAAAGAATCTCTCATAGCCACCACTTCAACTAACAGAATTTCAAAAAGAATAGCACTAGATATGGGCCAAGAAATGGGACACAATGCAGTCTGAGAGCCAGTGATTATTATTCTAGATTTGTAGGAATTCGACTCTGTACTAGATCCATAAGATTAGTGACCAATTCTGGAACACAGAGTTTCTTAACCATCTTCTGAAGCACCTGGTATTGGTCACTCTCAGCGATAGGATACTGGACTTGACACATCAGAGTCTGATCAGATATGGCAATTGCTGCATTCCTATGATTCAAGGTAGAAGAAGCCAATATGGGAGAAATTGCCATTGGCTTGTGTGTGTGTGTGGGGGGGAAATTACAGAAGTAGAGTTTTCAAAAATTAAGAAAGCAAAAAATATTATAGATTTACGACGACAGTATTTATTTTCCACTTTAAAACATTCACTGAAGTGGACCAAATGATCACTTTGTACAAAATCTTGACTTCCAAGGCTATATGTGGAAGCTGAGCTTTCATCAAAGATGCAAAACAGATTATAATAATGTAAAATTTGATACTGCAAACAGGCTTTGCTGTATGCTTTCCAATTTATAAGGGTTTAGTTATTATTTTAATTACTAAATGAAATGTTAACATTTAAGTAATCAAGGAAAGGGATTTCCTGCGGGGTGGAAGGAAAGAGACAATGAGGGGAGGGGGCTTCCTGGGTTTTGGGAAAGAAAGTGGCACTGGAGTTGTGGTTCCTGTGCATTGGGGGGAGCAACAAAGAGGGATGGAAGACAGAGGTGGGAAACCAGACTGAAATGAGAGCAAGGAGACTGCAGAGACAGTGAATAGAGGAGGGGAGTGAGAGACTGTAAAAGGAAAAATCATAGGGAAGAGTAGGCAAAAGGAATAGAGTGACTGAGGGAGAGAACACAAAGGGGATTATGGAAATGAAATTTAAAAGTAACCTGCAATACAAGCAAAACATTGAAAGAATCACTGAAATATAAGTTGGGTGTCCTACCCCAAGCTAGGGAGGAGCAAAGGGAAGGAGCAAATCTATACTAACTTTTTTTTAAATGTCTTTGCCTGACAAAAATTACCTTCCTGCTTTTGGGTTTGAGAAAAGTGTTCCAGAACAAATCATCCTAAAAAGCAGAGCAGCTGGTTAGCTGTTACAGTGAATCACTCTATGGGGGATTTTTTTCTGTTTAGAATGCATTTGGTCAATCTTCCATTGAAAAATAAAAGTTTTAAAATTAAAAGGCAAGAAAATCAAAAGGGAACTGTCAACCTGAAATCCAGATGATTTTTTAAAAATGACATAAAAGTTGTTTCAGACCCTACAGTCAACCCAGAATCCCCCTAGCTGATTTTTGTGGCTTTACAGTCACCATATCCTATTTTTTAAGTGTGTGTTTCAGGCAGCAACAGAAAGACAAAGGAAACTGACTGCCTTCACAGAAGAAATAGTGAAACTGACAGTTTTCATAGAAGGCAGTCTGATATCATGATGGACAACCTTATAAAAACACAGTAAATATAAAAATGCACCAAATAGACAAACTGAAAAAAGAAAACATGATTTTTTCAATAATCTTTCAGCATTATAGATATTAGCTGTTATTTTTGACAATATCAGGTAAACATTTTGCAGGCAGATATCTGGAAGGGGGTGGTTCTCTTTTTTACATTGATGGCGTCACTCGAAGCACCTAAATATCTGAAATAGGGGGAAGGGAGTCTTACCTGAGTTCCTGTGACTGATTCCTAGAATGTTGCAATCTGAAGTGTCTCAGAGGAAACTAGAACCAGGAAACTCATGTTCTAAAACAGATTTGTTTGGTTTGGGATTTTGTTAAAAAAAGTTTGGTTTGAACTTCTGTGTGTGCTGGCTACTTCAAGTCACTAAGAGAGGTTTGACAAGGGAAGAGGAGAAAGCCAGAGAAAAGGAATAGGAAAGGGACAGAAAACAGATACTGAAAAACAGGAAGGCAAGATATACAGCAGAAAAGGAAAGACATGAGCTACAAAAGCAGCACAGTAGAATAGCTACTTGTTTCACAGAAAGCTTGTTGAAGAACACAGAAAGACTACAAACAAATGTGTGATTTTTTCAGAGGAGGCAGGAGACATGATTCTGTTGGTGTAGGTAATGGAACTCTGTAGTCCAAAATTCTTTTTATGTTCTTTAGTAGGACGAAGTCTAGTTTTAACATAAAATGGCTTTTGCAAGAGCAATAATGGATCCTTTCAAAGTCTGTGTGCGTGTGCATGTTTTAAAATCAATTTGTGTCTATCTGATGGGGAAATACAGGCATATTCAGCACTCAGAGGTGACAATGCATATTTGTGTATGCACATGACAGGAGGGAGTGAGTTAACAGAATGTAACTTGTTATTGGCAAATTATTCTGGTTGAGAATTCCATATAAAAAGGGTGACAGACATTAAACAAGATATGTATGCACTGATCTACGAAAGTGCACGAAGTTGACTTTTATTTTTTATTTCATTTCCAAGGAGAATTCTGTGCTCTATGCTACTTGCTCACCCTTTTTTTTTCTAAAATGTGGTTGCAACCCTCTCCCTTTACATATTATATACTGCATTTACTTAATTCAGCAGATGACACCAAAATCTTAACACACATACACACACACACACATAGATCTTCCCAGTTAATTGGACTTGGAAAAATATTTCCTTACCTGGATCGTGGAAAGGCACCAAAGCAAAGTTGTAAAGTGGTTTCTTAGGTCTTTTCAGAGAGGTTTCCAAAATTTTAGATGCCCCTTCAATAACTTGAACTAAGTCATCATACATAGAGCCAGTCACATCAAACACAAATGCTAAGGTGGATGCTCCCTCTGGGATTTCTTCAGCTCTGGGCTCCTTCTCTGCACTGGCATCTTGTGCATAGCAAGAAGAAAAGAGAGCCAGCAAGAATCCTATGCAGATTCCCACTCTCCAGATAGGGATATTTCCACGGGAAATCATTTTCCTCCCCAGTGCCTAAGTAGCGTGCTTAGTACTCACTAAGTGTCAGAGGGCTTCCACTGCAGTGGAGAAATACATTTGAACTTTTTAAAAAACAAACAAAACAAAACCTTTTCTGCACAACTTAGATCTGAATTGCTCTGCCCCCCACACACTCCACCAGCCCTTTGAGAGAGGGAGGGAGAGGGATGCAGCAGCTTTTGTTTGTGTGTAGTTTCTGGTTTCTCTCCCTTCCCTTTCTACTTGTCTGCAGGACTTTTGTAGTGTCTCATGGAGTGAGGGGAGAAAGTCCCATCCATGCCCTACTGTGTGTGTTGCTGCTGCTGCTGCTGCTGCTGGAATCTTTGGCAAGAGGCAGAGAGAGGCTCCCAATGTGCTGCTGCTGCTGCTGCTGCTGCTGTTGGAGTCTTTGGCCAGAGCCTGAGGTTCCCAACTGCTGCTGTGAGACACAAGGAGCGGATGCCTAGCCCAGCCTCGGCTTCCCATTGGTCACCCGTTCTCCCCCTGCATTTGCCTTAGAGGCCCTTTTTTAGGGAGACTTTTAAAAATGTTTATTGGGTCACTTGAGTGCCACAGAATCACTTGGAGCAAAACCTTCGGTGATAACAATAAAAGCAGGACTGAGCCATAAGCAGGAAATTCGCCCCAGATGTGTGGTTTCCTCACCACTCTGTGACAGTCAGGGGAGCTGAATGTTTCCATTAGTGATTAGGAACAATGTACTCACCAGGATTGGGTCTGCACATTCCTGAGCTAGGAGGACATGGATAATCCTAGTACTCCCTCTCAACCTTAGGGGTGGGGAGATCCTGATATGAACCCCTCCTTCCACAAAGGGGAAAATAAGCTGACTGCCCCTCACGACCTGCCAGGGAGCTACGGGGAGGGGGGGGGGAGAAGAAAGATTTCCATTGGGCAGTGCAACCCAAGGAATTTCCCCCCCCCCCCTCCCCCCTCCCCCCCCCCCCCCCCCACACACACACACACTCCAGCTCTTCTCCATTCACTTACATTTGCAGTGATCTGGAGCAAAATGAAATCACAGTGGCCTACATCTTCCCAATGTCTTTGTGGTCTAGATAGCTAGCCCAACCCACACACTACTCAAGCTTTCACTCCTACAAGTGGAGAGTGAGGCAGGGATTTTGCTACACCCCTCCTAGGTGTAAACTCCCCCCCCGAATTTCCCCCACCCCCCCCCCCCTCAGTTTTGTGAACTACTTACATGCAGTGTTGCCAATTTAGTGACTGTTTGGAAATTTGAATTGAAATTGAAACATTAATACACACTTTAAAAGCATATACAGTGTATGATAAAATATGTGTATCTGAAAAAGTATAATAGATTTGAAAAGTTTGAACCATAGACTAGCTTCCTTATACAGCTGTTGTTTTTTATGACAATGTCAGTGCATTCATTTTGGTGATGTTGGCCAACCTAATAATTTCAAATTATGATTTGTAAGCAAAGTCTAAATGAGCTCTCCCTGACAGCTAGTGATGAGCTGGCGGGAAAGGCTTCAGGACCAGATTGTATTTACATTCACACCTAATCTACCTAGGTATCCAGCAAACAGAGCTGCATTGCCCAAGTGATAGATTTTGGCTGGGGTTGGGTTACAAATCACTTGAATGCGGTGGGGAGGGGGACGAAATGTTGTTATTCTTATTGTAAGAGTAAAGGGCAGTAGAACTGTACTTAGCCTGTGCTGATTGAGGGCATCAAGAGAGAGTGTGGGGACAGGTGTTTTGCTTGATGGTCTGCTTGAGTCACAAGTACTATTTGACTTGCCCCTCTCCACTGTTTAAAGACAGAGCTGATTAGGCTCCATAGATAGTCTTTTGTTTTGTTAAATGACCAGTACAGCTGAAATCACTGATAATCAGGTCTAAGTGCTCAGACCTGCTGTGGGACAGTGTTTCTGTGGAAGAGATGGCCCAGTCTGCACTAGCAGTGAGGTTCCCCCACTGAGAGCTCAGCTGAAATCACTGAGAACTGTGTGGAATCTCAAGAGACCAGCTAGCAGAGGTCACAGTGGCAGGTGGCAGCAGAAGGTGATGGCGCAGGGCCATTGGCAACAGAGCGATGGAATGAACGGTGGTACGAACAACAGTGGCCAGAGCAAACAGTGAGCAGCTGGAGGAACGAGCAAGGTGCCTTCTTGCCCCCCCATGTGGGAGGTGAACTCATGTGAAAGCACCTCTGAATTCTGAGTCTCCACTGACCAAGGACAACACCGGTGAGTGTTAATGAGGCTGTTAAGAATTCTGGAGACACAACAAAGTTCATGTGAACAAACATGGCTGTGGCATCATACTTTCTATTTAAGCAAGAGACACTACAAACTGGAGGCCAATGTTAAGTGCATTGTCACTTGTTCATCCTGAAGTTGAACACTGGTTCCGATCAAGACCAGCAAATGCTCACTATCTTTCTGCAAGAAACTCAACTCACTGGCTAGAAGCATGTGGTGCAACAGTGAAAGATTCAACAGTCGAAAAAGTAAAGAACTCTCTCACCACATTCAAAAAATTTGCATACATGGCTGATGAATACACCGATGCAAATGGGCATCAAGTATTAAGTCATTGTGTACGTTATCTTGATGTCAGTGATAGGCCAGTAGATGCAGTTCTAGATGTTCAAGTTATAGAAGACACATCAGCCGCATCTGTGACAACCCACAGCTTAGAAGAGTTAAATGCTTGTGAATTGGACCCCAAATAAATGGCTGCTTGTGCATTTGATGGCGCTGCAAACTTCTCTGGAAGACATGGTGGAGTACGAGCTTTGCTCAGAGAAAAGTGTAACCCTAATCTCTCCTATACACACTGCAGAGGCCATCTACTCCAACTAGCACTAGTATGAGCTGCAGACTCTTCAAAAGACATTTAAAAAGCTATACATTTAATATCTTCATTATATTCTTTTTTCAGCAAGAGTCCAGAAAGACTGAATATCTTGGAAAATATAGCAGATACACTGGGACTGAAGTTCAAATTAGTCCAACCTGGGAAAACCCTCTGGTTTTCTCATGAGCGATCCTTGGCTGTTGTCTTAAAATTACTCCAGCCGTTATTACTGGCTTTGGAAAGTATCTAGCAAGATGGGATGGATCTAAGTAGTGAGGCTGGTGGATTACTTTTCCTACTATGTTCAGAGAAGATGATTGCTGTTCTTTCTCTTGTAAGTCTACTGTTGAAACCACTTGGGTCATTAAACAATGCCATCCAGGCATCTGCTACAACAGTAGTAGATCTTTGTCCAGCAATAGAAGCTACATTTGGATCAATCAGAGAGCTATCCATTGAAAAAGTACTGGAAGAAGCAAAGACTTCAGTCCAGAAGTTGACTAATGAAGGTATTTATATTGATCCTTAAGTGAAGAGGACAAGAAGTGTTTGTTAAGACAACTGAAAAAGTACACAGACTTGATTCTTAAAAATCTACAACACAGACTTCTAGATTCTACTCAACCTCTATGTAGCTTTTACAGATCCCTGTCCTAGAAAACACTGACAGTTGAGTGGAGTGAGGCACTACCAGCAATGGGGCTACCATGTGCTCAGGATAGAATAGAGAATTTGAACACAGAGTGGAATATCATACAAAGAATGAATGAAGATTTGACTTCAACTTCTTTTTTATCATCACTAGTGGCTCGACCCGATCTTTGTGCTATGTTTCCTGGGATGAAAGAAGTAGGAATTCATCTCTTGCTACTCCCAGTCACAACAGCTACATTTGAGCGTTCTTTTGCCTCATTGAATAGAATTTTGTGTTCTGAAAGAAGTCGCCTTCTGCCTGATCATGTGAATGAACTAATGAGCCTATCAATTGAAGGAATGGAAGTACTGGACACACGAGAAGCCACCAAAGATGAACGCACTGCATTTAATAAGTTCATTAACAGACTTGTGCAAAATTATAACAAGAAACCAAGAAGGATGTAGATGTAGTGCTTCATACGAGGCTTGAGTAGCCAACTTTAATTTGTGTGATGGCTTTAAAACATGAGTTAAATCTAATAAAATGGTCATGAAACATTTTTCAGTTTTTACCATGGTGCCATACAGCCCACCTTCACCCTCACGGTCTCACCCCTCATCGGCCCTGACACACACCCCCCCGGTAAATTCGAACACCCCCCCTAATTTCAATTCCTGGGGAAAACACTGGAGTGAGGTGTTATTTCTTTAATATTTGGAGACACTCGGATATTAAAATGCTGGAGGGCCATAAAAACATCTGGATAGATAAGCTGCTAACAGACAGAAAAGAGCAGCCTATATCACCCTACCACTACCAAAGTGGAAGGAGGGTCACAATCAACACTAAAGTGGCAGCAGGTATTCTCTAACACTCTCCTCAGTCTGCCCCTCCTCTCTCCAACAGATGAAAGGGTGGCACATGCCCTGCCCCCAATTTTTTGCCCCCTTCTTCCCCCCTATTTCTTGTTGAATACCGGTGTTCATTATCTAGCTGGCTAGTTGCTACTCCTGGCACTGCAGCCTCCAAATGCTTCTGGAGACCTGGCAACTCAACAGAGCTGCAGCGAGCTGGATCACCAGATAGTCCACCCCCAGTAGCTGGACTTCACGTTTCCCTCCCCAGGGAACCTTCAAACATGCCAAGATTCTAATCTCTTAAAGCAGATGCCTGGAGTCCTACCTCACAGAAGCAATCCACGGAGCCCTAGAAGTGGCAGTTCAGCACAGTGAGCAAACTGAGTGTGAAAGAAGGCAGCATTCAGGAGAAAATTCCTTAGAAATGGGGGGGAGGGTGTGTGTGTGCACGCACACACACACACACTCACTCTCTTTGGGGACATAGATAGCAATGCAGAATGGGGAATAACAACAATATGGACTGGGTGTCCTGGGATAAAGGCAGCAGTAAAAGTGGGTGAAAGGGTTGCCAGGTGTCTAGCTTTCAACCGGAAAGTCCGGTTACCCACAGTAACCAGCCTCTGCCACCACGGGGCAGGAAGAGCAGCAGC